CAGAAACCTTCACAGTTACTACTGATTGTGACATCTTCTGCTACCAGACAGCTGTGTCCCCGTCTTCCATCACACTCACAGTGCAGTGATCTCAGCTGCTGTCCCTTCAGCTCACTTCCTTCAGCCTTGTCCAGGAAGCCTTCCCTAAGCGTCAAGCCTGGGTCCACGTGCTCCCATCATCAGAACACTCATCATAATGTGCTGTGCTCTGCCTTTTGCAAGACACTGAAGGTCCAGGAAGGAGGTCAGAGGCCATCCTCAGTTTTTCCACCATTGTATTTGTCTCAGACATGGTCTGGCACGCCGCAGCAGGTGCACATGAAATATTTGTTGAATGTTGTTGTCGGGTGAATCTGTGTCCATTCCACCCACTAGACCAGGAGGTCCTTGAGGACAGGGCTTCTGTCTTGTATCTGTATCCCTGAGACTTAGCACAGGGCCTGGCACTGCATTTGTTGAATGAATCTGTAAACAAGTAAGTTAACAAATGCCGCTCCTTAGTTAGCGCAGTGCAGTCACCAGCAAATCCAACGCCCCCATTCTGAGGCTGTGAAGTTTTAGAGATGAGGGGAATGAACGAATAGGTAATCTTTGAATAAGTGGCTCGCCATAATTTTCTAAGCCCAAACTTAAGACTAATTAAAAGATAACTGAACAAGATTCTGTTCGATTGAATCAGCACTAGATAGAACTATTGATTTCTCCCTTGAAGCCCATTTCTGCCCACTTCTCCCCATTTCTTCCCCACCTCTGTAATTGCTACCACCGTCTAACCAGGGGCTCAAGCTCAAAACCTCAATTCAGCTTCGCTGCCTCTATGTACCCAAATCACCAACAGGTCTGTTGGCTCCTTGTAAAATACACACTGAGTCCCCCACTTTTTCCATCCCGACCACAGTCGTCCTGGCCCAGCCACCGCCACCATCAGGCCTCACCTGGACTCGTGCAGCACCTTCCCAGAGCCCTACCAGCCTCCCTTCTCGCATGCCCACCCCCCCCCACACAGAAGCTGGATAGATTTTAAGCAATAGCTAATCTGATCACATCACACCCCCTTCCTACAGACCTCCAAAGGCATCCCATGACACACGGGGTAAAATCTGAACTCCCTGCGGTGATCTCAGGCCTTCTCAGTTCGTGCCTGCCTGCCTCTGGTATACCTTATGCCACGATCCCATCCTTCCCCTCTCTCTGGTTCTGCTGTTCCTCTCAAAGCTCACGCCCACCTCGGAGTCTTTTCACTCGCTCTCCCTTCTGCCCAGACGTACTCCACCACGTCATCACCTGACTGGCTCCTTCTCAGAAGCCAGGTGTCAGCTCAGAGGGTCACCTGTCCTCAGAGGGGCCCTCCCTGGCATCCCACTTAAAGGAGCTCTCGTATCACTTCACTCTGCTTTACTTCTGTCATCACTACCTGAAATCACCTTGTTTGTTTTTATGTGTTTTGTATCGATCTCCTCCAACTAGAATGCCAGTTCTTTCCACGTTTTGAAGTTATCACAGTTTTTATAATAGTTTACTTGCTTTCTGTTTCTCTCCCCTACTAGAACGTAAGCTCTGGGAAGACAGGGCCTTATCTGGTTCTATCCCCCTAGTTTGTAGCACGGTGCCAGGCACATAGTAGAAGGTTAATACATATTTGTTCAATGAATGAATGAACTCCAAATGTGTCCATAGAGGGAAGTCAGCTTGGGGAGAAAAGTGAACGTGGTATTGGTCGCCATTAACAGGAAGGCAGAATGTAGACAAGGAGGATCCAGTCTGCATGGATCAGATCATATCTGCATCACTGTACTTGGTTCTGGCAGTCACTCTGCCACAAGGACCAGCACTGAGGACAGGAAACTGACCAAGTTGGCACATGAGAAGAAACTTGGAAAACCAGAAGTATTTATCTTACAGAGACCGGGAAAAAAAAAAGTCCTAGAAGGCATATTGTCACTGTCTTTTTACTCTCTAAAGGGCTATTCAGAGAAAAGAGGGAATAGATTTGGGTTGGGGCCCTAAGGGCAGCATCCAGATCAATGGGTATTAGTTTGATAGAAACAGATTTTAGTTACAGGAGGAAAATGGCCTTTTGAGAGAGTACATAGTAAGGGAAGGGGCTGCACTAGGAAGTAGTAAGCTCCCCATCTAAGAAAGTGTCCAAGTGGCACAAGTGTACCACTTGGCAAGGACATTGAGGAAGGGATTCAAGCAGCAGACGACAACCTCCAAAATCTCTTCAAATTTGAGACATCTGGGTTTCTATGACATATAGGGGGAGAGTCAAGAAAAAATGTCTGGCTAACAAGAGTTCTAGAACTTCCCTACCTACCTACCCCAATAGAAGAAAACATCACCAAAATTAGCAATGGAAAGACTAGTTGAGAGGTGTCTTGCAGGGCTAAAGGCATCCCAGAAACACTGTGGACAGTTCCCTGTGTGATCATTTAGAACATGGACTCCCAAATATTAATAATTTGACTATTCAAAGATGCTTCAGATTCTAAGGGAAGACAACCCACATTATTGCATAATGGCTAAGATGGTCCTGGGTTTCATTTCTGAAACTCTACCACTTCCCAATGGTAGGACCTTGGGGAAAACAATTAACTCTTCCAAATCTCAGTTGCCTCATCTGCACAAAGGATGTCATTTAAAAATGAGGGGTAAGGAACAACTGAAACCATGATGGCACAATTTGATAATTATTGAAACTCAATGACAGGCACATAGGCATTCACTATACTACTTTATGTGCTTGAAAATTTGCATAATAAACAGTAAAAAAAAAAAGGGGGGGAGTTTAAAATAGTACCTACCTCATGTAATAATTGTAGTGCCTTAAGAAATAATCATCACCACCACCATTACAAGGAATTTTCACAAATCCCCATTATTACCAGAAATGTTTAAATATCCCATTTAATAAACCCAACAACCCTATGAAATGCATGGTATTCATTGTCACTTGGCAGATGAGGAAACCAAAGCTCTGATAAATTAAACATAACAAAGTCTTCAGCTGGCAAAGGCTGAAATGCAATCTGAAACCAGAGTTATCTGATTCCACCAGCACAGCTTCCTTTCTTTCAAGAATAGCTCATTGTGTTCTGCTTGGTTGACATCTACACGATTATGACATCGTTTATACATCTAAGTCAGTGGTTTCCTAGCGTGTTCTTTTCTTGGTAGCGTGGCCCTTTTTTCAAACACAGCCTCACTTAGAACTTTTCGGTAAGTAAAACTGATGAAAGCTGAACAGCTCTCACTAAAGTGGGGATCAGGGGCTCCAACCAGCCCACTTGACTCCAGGACGGCCCCCAAAACACCCTGGGGTCTGTGGAGCATAGTGTGAAAACCCCAGATTGAAGCCAACAACAACAACAAAAACCCCTAACCCTAAGAAGTACATGTTTAGAGCAGCCTCATTTGTGTAATGTATCTTTCACTCCCCTGTCTCCCATCACATCGGATGCTCATTATCAACTCTGAGGTGGACAAGGCAGGGCATATCATCCTCAATTTGCAGATGAGGAAATCAAGGCCAAATGGAGTTAAGCAACTGGCCAAAGGTGCGCCAGTTCAATTTTTGGCCAAGTGCAGACTGGAAGTAGAGTCTGCCTCCATTAACTCAGTGTGACCTGGCAGAGAGGGTGCCATCTACTGGAAATTGCTCCTGACCCTTGGTCCACAAAGTGGACATCAGCTTCTTGGCCACTGAGAGCTTAGCACAGCCCCACGGGCTCTCCTGCCAAGGCCCTGTCCCAGAGCAGATGGCAACGGGCAGAGGAGAAGGGCTCAGTGCCACTGAAGGCCTCACAGCAGGATTTTGGCTGCAGACAAGCCATTCCCATCTGAGCCATGTCGTGCTGAGCACAGGGCAGGGGAGGCAGGAACAGCCAAAGTGCCTTCCACCTTGATCTGCAGCAAGTAAATGAGCCCGCAAAGGGACATCAGGTAGTGCAGGTCTGGGTATCAGCTACACGTTGCTTTTCTTCTCAGCTCTTACTGAGACATCCCTGAAACCAGAGGCAGCTGATAAATGCCTGAACGACTCCCCTGCTCCAGAGCATCTCTGAACTGAGCAGGAGCATGTGTTGGAGCAGGCAGCACTTAATTATCACTTAGGCTTTAATTAGCACTTAATTATTAACACTTAATCCATCTGTAAAATGGGGACACTAATATCTGCCTCATAGGGACTCTGGGAGGATTAATTAAGTTTGCAGCCCACTTTGAAGATGCAAAGCATTGAATAAGTGTTCAACAATGGCATTAACAACTACAGCAGATTGACTTCTTTTTCCTAATGAGGTCCCTTCTTCCTCTCCACTCCTTCCTCTCCTTGCGAATACCCACCAATATCTGCCCAACTTTGCCCTGGTGGAAAAACACTTAGCTCCGTGTTTCCCAGTCACAGGATTTCCCATCCAGGAAACGGGCTATTTACAGCCATCTTCCCGCACTTTAATTTTCTATTATGTCCTCTGAATATGTCAATGCCTTCCCAGTAAATATTTTGATGTGTGCTCTTGCAGCAGCTTCTGTGGAGGCTGAATGGGACAGCTGCTCCCTGTATTAGGGAATTCCAGATGTGGCTTAAAACCATCAAGACTCATCTGTGCGAATGCCCAGCCTTTAGGTGGGAGAGGGGAAGGATCTTCTCATTGCTTCTGGGGAACGCCACAAGCCATCTACCCCTTAGCCTTGGCTAGGGTGGTTTTCCAGGGACCTCGGGTCCACACGCCTTTAGGTTGAGAAATGTCCCCTTAGTGGGCTGGGGAAGAGGCAGCCTGGAATATGGCCCTGGTCTGGCCCTTCACCCAGGTAACTTCAGAACCTCGGTCAGCTCTTCCATAAAGATTGGACAAAGGACCGTGGGGGGAGGGGTCAAGGAGCCAAAGCATATACTCTTCTGGGTTTAACCAGACTGAATACTGCACCAAAACATTCCCAAGGTCAGCCTTCATCTCGTCCCTCCCTCCTTGCTGCTGACCAAGTAGGTGGATACTCACTCTTCTTGGAAGCTGAATCCGTGGTCTCTTAGAGTCCCAGCCATGGAGACAGAGAGCTGCTCCGTGGAGGTCCTGGGCTGCAAGGCCTCCGGCAGGCCTTGAACTCTCTTCCAGATTTCATGGCAAGTCTTGTCTAGGCTGTCTTGGGGTGTGTCCTGGTGGATCCAGATGTATCTGGGGAATGGGCCCAGGGCGGAGGGGCGCTTGGCCACCAGGGCCGAGGATGAAGAGAGCCCATTCCCGCTGGCCATCCTCCTCCTCTCTTTCCGGAAGCCCCTTTGTCCACCCAGGGCTCGAAGACAAGGGGACCATCCGCCACCACCCCTCATTCACCAGAAAGGGAGATGAGGATGGGTCCTGGCAGAAGTGGGTCAGTCCTGCTTGGCTGCTGCCCCAGCAAGGCGATGGTGTTCAGAGGCCTTCGATTTGTGCGGGAGTGGTGGGTGGAAGACAGCTTTCTTTTGGGGAGGGGGCGCTTGTTTTGATTTGGCGTTTTTCGCTCTTTCCTGACTCTTGCCCCCCTCCCCCTCTCCCTTAGAAGAAAATATTTAAAAGTCAACAAAAACCAGTAGCTTAGTAACCGTGGAATCCCCCGTAGCTCAGGAACCAGGCGCCTTGGCGGGCAGAATGACATCTGGGAACAGCTGGAAGGGGAGGGCTGGCTCTCCCCAGGGTCTCTGGCACTCCCCCCTTGCGACACCGCCGTGACACCTTGCAGGGCCTGGGCTCAGCCCATCCTCGCCCGCTGAGCCCTGCGATGACTGGGTGAGGGCCCGGCACCGTGCTAGGCGCCGCGGGGGCAGGAGCCCGCCAGACTCCAGCTCGGGCCTTCAGGGAGCTCCGCGCAGGCCGAGGGCCAACGGCCCCCGGACCCCGCCGCCAAGTGCCGCTGTGCTCTCCCGGCTACTCCGCCAGGGCCCCGGCCGCAGCCGCTCTGCCGCCCCGAAGCGAGAGCGGCGAGGGTGACGCCGCGCCCGCAGCCCGCCGGCCCAGCCCCCAGCGGACACCTGCCGCGGCCGCCGGGCAGCGGGACGGGCTCCGGGAAGCCGCCCGCCCGTCCAGAGGGCACGGTCTCGGCAGGGCAGGCCGGAGGGGCGGCTCTGGCCAATTTGCGTGCCAGTGGCTCCCACACCCTCGCCGTCGAGCGCTGGAATTCTCTATGTGGGTTTCAAACGCAACGGCTCGGCTCGGGGCGCGGGGCGCCCGGTTCAGCGCCCAAGGCCGGCCCGCCGGGCGGGGTGGGGGCGGGGCGGGGCCGCAGGAGCCCAGGGCGCACTCGGGTTTCGAAGTCAAGGCCAAAACGTCGCAGCCCCACCCTGCGCTCCACACACACCTCGGGGCCTGCCTGGGGGCCCTCCACCCTCATCTGCTGACTTTAACCCTAACTGCCCTTTTATGGGGTGCTCAGCCTGTGCCAAGCGCTGGGCTCATATTCGATCCTGTTCAAGCTCATGAACTCAGTACCGCTTTTTATTATAGCTCCCCATGTACGGAAACCGAGTCTCAAAGTCACAAAGAGTTATGGTCAAGGCCTATCAAGAAGTGGGGAGCTGGAACTAAGGCCCAGCACGCTAGGCCTGATCTGGCGCCCCTAGGAGCTGAGAGAGCTTTGGTAGGTCGAGGGGCTGGGGGCGCAGGGGCAGTGAGAAGGGCCAAGGTCAGCTGTTCACTGATCAACAGGTTCTTAACCTCACCGAAGGACTTCATGCAACTAGCAGACACAGCACCTCTGCCCAAATGCGGCTCTCTGGTCCCAAGAGTCAGTGGTTATTCCTACAGTGGTTCCCCAGGAAAGGAAGAGCAAAAGGATAGAGAAGGAAGAATGGATGCAGGTAGACGAAGCTGGAAGCCTGTAGGTGTGGGGCTGGGTGGAATCCTGACGCTCGCTTCCCAGCTGTGTGACTCTCACAACTTTCTTAACTTCTCCCCTCCTTATTCATTTTCCCTCCGATACTGTTAAGAATAGAGCCCTTCCTCTGTGTCAGGTGAATTGCTGGGCACAGAAGAAGCACGAGGAGGGTGGACTCAACTGATGGAGTCTCTGCCCTGGTGTATTTTAGTGGAGGGAGATGGATCACAACTAGCCAAGCAAGTAAAGCAGCAATAATTGCAGATGAAACAGGACTCTGGTGGAAAAGACCTAACAAAGTGAGGCAATGGGGATGGGACAGGAGGCAGCATTTGATGACAGCCCAGGCAGGCCTCTTTGAGGAGGTAAATTCGAGCAAGTGGAGAGGGAATCCTTTTCTATAAATTATTATGAGGATCCCATTTCCGGCACACAGTAGGCCAGAATAAATAAATATGTATTGGACGAATTAATGTTATACTGTATGTAAAGTGCCTGGCATACAGTAGGTGCCCAATACACAACCTTGCTCTTTACAGAGGAGCTGAGTTCCTGGAAATGTTGACTCTAAATTTTGAAATCCGAGCTTCATTCCTCTTTGATTTTCATTATAAAATTGAAGATGTGTTCCTTTGGGGAAAATTCCGAGGACCTAGACTGAATAAAATTATAGTTAAGAATGTAGAAAACCTTTTAAAATAGTGTATTTAAAGGAAAAGTGATCATTTCTGATGAAATATTAATAGTTCTGAAAATGTCACTCAGTGTTTGTGCTGCTTGGCATTTGGTTGGCTAACACCTAAGCTTAGAGCAGAACGCCAACGACCCTGCACTGCCCAGGTCACAGGATGCTGCAAAGTTAGCCAGCTCACTCACTCCTGCTCTCTCACCCTCAGCAGGAGACCAGGCACAGGGGCTAAAGTAGAAAGGATTGCAGAAAAAATAAAATACAGCATGGATAAGGAACAAAGATACACCATGCTTTTAGAGCACATCGATGAGGTTTCTAGAAGATTCTGCAAAAACCGTAAGTGATGTACTTAGAAACAGTATAAAGCAATATTCAATATGGTAGCCACTAGCCACATAAGGTTATTTTAATTTCAATTTTATTTTAATGTAAATTAAACTCAAAATTCAGTTCCTCAGTTGCACTAGACATATTTCAAGTGCTATCCTATAGCCACATGTGGCTGGTGGCTACCATATTGGACAGCACAAAGAACCTTTCCATTATTGTGAAACACGTAGACTATAGAACCAGACTACCTGGGCTCAAATTCTGAGTATGTGTTTTCTGGCAATGTAGACTTAGACTGATTGCTCTGTGCTGTGGTGTGTTAGTTTGCTAGGACTGCCATAGCAAAGCACTACAGGCTGCGTAGCTACAACAGAAATTTATTTCTTTACAATTCTGGAGGCTAGAAGGCCAAGATCAAGGTGTTGGCAGGGTTGGCTTCATTCTGAGGTCTTGCTCCTTGGCTTATAGATGGCTGTCTTCTCCCTGTGTCCTCACATGATCTGTGTGTATCCCTGTCCCACTCTCTTCTTCTTAAAAGTACACCAGTCATGTTAGATTAGGATTGACCATAATGGCCTCATTTTTATCTTAACCACCTCTTTAAAGGCTATATCTCCAAATACAGTCACATTCTCGGATACTAGGGGTTAGGACTGCAATATATGAATTTTGGGGGGGGACATGGTTCAGCCTACCCCACTTAGTTTCCTCATCTGTAAAATGGGACTGTAATGAAGAATACTTGCTTTGCAGAATCGTTGTAGCTGTTCTATTACTAAATAATTGCTCCATACATGGGAAGTCCTTAGAACAACAACTGGCGTACGAGGAGCACACGAAAAGTGCTGTACATTGATCTCCCTATTGATGGAGTTTCTGAATAACAGCTTTTGTGCTTTACGTAGGGAGGAAAAACTTCTGCTATACTGGGGAAATTGTTCCGTGATAGAGAAGTGGACTCAAATCATCACTTACTCCTTTCCAGACATTGTTAATTTTTGAGCACCTATCATGGGCCAGTACTGTGCAAGACACTGGGATCAGAGATGCTCAAGACCTCTATCCCTGGCCGGGCACAGTGGCTCACGCCTATAATCCTAGCACTCTGGGAGACCGAGGCGGGCAGATTGCTCGAGGTCAGCAGTTCGAAACCAGCCTGAGCAAGAGCAAGACCCCGTCTCTACTATAAAATAGAAACAAATTAATTGGCCAACTAATATATATAGAAAAAATTAGCTGGGCATGGTGGCGCATGCTTGTAGTCCTAGCTACTTGGGAGGCTGAGGCAGCAGGATTGCTTGAGCCCAGGAGTTCGAGGTTGCTGTGAGCTAGGCTGACGCCAAGGCACTCGCTCTAGCCTGGGCAACAAAGTGAGACTCTGCCTAAAAAAAAAAACCAAAAAACAAAAAAATAAACCTCTACCCTAGACAGAGTCACAACCTAGTGAAGGGGGTGGGGGAGGCAAAGCATTCCATAAGTGCTGACACAGAGCAGTGTGACATGAATGACAATCCCGTCCCTATTCCACATGTAGTCATGTTCCTCCAGCACATGTGTCTGTGTGCCCAGCACTGTTCATGGTGCTGAAGATAGAATAGTGAAGAAGACAGGCTTGGTCCCAGCCTGGTTTTTGTTTTTTTAATTTTTTTTAGAGTTTGAAGTGAAGCATTCAATGGATATTCATGGATATCCAGGGATACCATTTCATCTATGAATCATTTTCTGCTTAGAAAAATTCTTAAAATCCCCCGTTACTACTCATATGCCTCTGGGAAGGTGATTTAACCTCTATGTCTCAGTTTGCTCATCTAGAAAATAAAGATAATAAAATAGTGACCTCATAGAGTTGTTTTGTGACACTCGAGATTATCCATGTAGTGCTTAGAATAGTAGGTCTAGCTAATGTACGTACCCAAGGATAGTTGACTGTCATTATTTAGGATTCTGGGATTCTTACTTTCCTATTTAGAACCAGGAAAGTCTCGGGAGGAGGAAACTCTCTTATCTATCCTCCAGCTGAAGCCTCTACTCACCAGGCTTCTGCCTCTGAGGCGGACAAGCCTGGGTTGGAAAACTCAGAATGGCAGCACGACCTGGCCTCTTTTGCCATCTTCCTAGGCCCTAAGCCTACTTACTCTTGTAAGTAGGTCCTGTTCCTCATCCTACATATTTGAAACACACCCACCTCTCACGATAAATATAACTTTCGGCTATAAAAGAAAATTGAAAGGATTTTTGCCATTTTACTTTTGAAAATTTTTGGCCATGAGTAATTTATTCAATTTACGATCGGCTGTGATTTCTCACCAATCTTGGTGCCTACTGGAGAAATCTTGTGCGGTGAGAAGACTCCAACCTACAAATTGTTATCAAATGCCATGAAATTTTTATGACAACCAAATTCAACAGTTAATGAAGTTGACATAATGTTACGCTTTGCATTTAATTAAATATTTACTGATTTCAATGGTTGCAGTTTTCTTCTTTGTGTTGTGGAGCTAGTTATACAATTTTTAGGCCTCAAACATTTTGTAAGCCCCTAAAAGCCACAGAGACCCCCATCACTATTCCGATAATGCCGAATGAGTCAAACCACTCAGAGGCAGGGCCCATGCAAATTTCTTGAGGGATGAAACATCAGAGCTGGAAGAAGAGGAGGTTGCAGCCATGTTTTGTAGGACTAGGCCTGGATGTTGTCTCAGCAACAGAACAGGGCTGCAGAGCAGCCAGCCATTTCCGGGGCTTTGAAAAGGAACCTGGAGTGTTCTGGAAGCAAAGCTGTGACTCCTTGGCTTCTCTCTCCTGGCAACACCGTCAGCAATCCCTGCCATTTCCCAGGAGGTTTTATCCCTTAGTATAGCTTCATTCCTTGCCCACATGTGAGGAGGTAGTTAAGAGCTTGGGCAGGGGCTGGTGGCATGCTTGAATCTGAATTCCCACTCTGCCACTTCCTAATGTGTGGTTTTGCACATGCTTAACTTCTGGCATTTCTTCATCTGCAAAGTGGTAAAAACAATAGACAAGTTTTGGGTAGAGGGAAGGTTCAAATAGAGAAGTGCATGTAAAGTTCTCAGCACAGTGCCTGGATCATGGGATGTCCTCAGTAAAAGAAACATTATAATTATTGTTATTTAGCTGTTATTACTGACCACCTTGTAACGTAAAATGGCAGCCCATGAGGTCTCCATTTAAGGTTAGGGGGAAGGAAGGTCAAAGTTGACAGAGGAAAAGAATATGGCTTGGCAGTGGGGGTCCAGTAAGGTAGCATCAAAGTCAGAATCCACTTGGCCTTCTGCCTCCTGCTG